AGAGCAATGATAACAGCTTGTATTGTTTCCAGTGCCTCTGAGGCCTCTCTGACAGTAACTCACAGAGCAGTACCCTAATCCACAACTGTTTTACATGGTTCTGGAGATTGAACTCAGGTTTGATCTGAGTCTCTCTCCATCCCCTAGCATAGATTTTTATTTATTTATCTTAACCATAAGTGAGTTTTGAGGCGTAGAGCTATGCACATTGGCACACACATATGTAACTGCAAGTGGCTATTCTGAGAAGGAATAAAATATGTAAATCTTGGGGCTGCCCTCTTGAATTGTTTTTTTTTTAATCTGTCAGCCCTTACAGATATCTCACACATGCCTGCTACTTAGAATCTTAATTCTTTGAGGACTAATACCATCCCACCTGCCAGCTTATTATTATGAAAGCTCAGCTGATAGCTTAGGCTTGTTTCTAATTAGCTCTTATAACTTAACCCATTCTACTAATCTACTTTCTGCCTCGTGGCTTTATCACCTTTGCTCTGCCCATGCTGTTTCCCTGCTTCCTTCTGTGTCTGGCTGGAAACTCACGACTCTACCCTTCTTCTTCCCAGTGTTCTCTCTGCCTCAAAAATCCTGCCTCGTTATTGGCCATTTAGCTTTTTATTAAGCCAATCACAGTGAAATATCTTCATACAGTGTAAAGGAATATTCCACAACAGTCTTATGTAGAAGATATGGCCAAAATAACATATAGTAAATGTTATAATAATGTCAATAATTCTCATTATTTTCCAACTTGAGCTGCAAGGAATCTCAAAGTATTAGGTGCTGTCTTGCCGATTAAAGACGGCATTTTTATTGAGTATGTAAAGGTATATTCTAATAGATTTTCCTTTCAGCTGACATAGTTTGAGTGGTTTCCAACTGTGGACTGAGGGAGGAGTCTTATGTGTCTTTAGGCTTTTGTTTCCAGGAGGTGTGTTCTGAGAAGAGCCCCCCTCCCCATCTTGCAGGAAAGAAAGCATAGTTTTTTGGGCAACACCCTGTCTATTTTAAATGACTGGAGAGGGGAAAGCATTGTGTCCAAGACTGTAATTTTCCCGATGACACCATCTTCTGCAGTTACCATCCCGTGGAGCATTCCTGTGGTTCTGACTGGGAACCCTGCAGGATCATTTCACAGGAAGACCCAGTGAGAATGGGGGCAGGACAGACAAACTGAGCATTTGAGGGAAGTCCCTTCCACTGAGCACTTTCATGGGACTTGTCAGGGGGTGAGGTATTGGGGGGAGTGGATGCTGAGGACTAAGGGTGGGGCGCGGATTCCAGTCCAGATAAAATCCCACGCTGTGGTCTGGTCAGACATCCAGGCTTCCATGCGATTAGTCTCTTGGAAAGATCGTTTTGAATCTCCTATTTTGTCATTTGGTATATGGTGTAAGTATCTCCTTTCAAAATTAAAATTTGATGGCCTGGGACTATAACCAATTATGAGTTTTGATAAAAATATAAGTGGTGTTCTGGGTGGACTCATAGCGGTTTTTCCGATGGAGTTGGGTCCTTGTGAAAACTTATTTTCTGAATCTGAGCTGAGTGCTTTGATTATGGAAGTAATGATTTGTTTAAAGTGTACACACAAGGGCTGGGGCTATAGATCACTTGGTAGAATTCATGTCTACCATGCTTGAAGCCCTGAGTTCAAGCCCCAGCATTGAATTAACGGGGAGGGGTAGCACATAGCATATACCTCTAATCCTATCATTTTGGAGAATTAGAAGTTCAAGGTCATCCTCAGCTACATAGCAAATTGCAGGCCGGCCTGATGAGTAAGACACACACAGTTTTATTTCTCCAAACAACCTGACTTGGTTTTATTTTATTTTTAAGCAGTGTCTTTATGAATGAAAACAATGGTGTGACTGCTCCAAGGGATGTCTGAGGAGAGGTTGATATGTGGGAGGGAACAGCCAGAGACATCTGGAATGGTCCGACTGAAGTAGGCCAGCAGACTAAGCCATGAGAGGAGGGAAGGAGGGAGTGAGAGAGAAAGAGAAGAGAGGAGTGAAGATGGTACCTGGGAATCAGGAGACCAAGAGAGCATGTGGGAACCAAGGGGGCATGTGGGAACCAAGGGGGCATGTGGAAACCAAGAGAGCGTGTGGGAACCAAGGGGGCATGTGGGAACCAAGGGGGCATGTGGGAACCAAGGGGGCATGTGGAAACCAAGAGAGCGTGTGGGAACCAAGAGAGCGTGTGGGAACCAAGGGGACATGTGGCCAGAATGACTGGGTTTTATAGGAAAAGGGAAGCAAAGCTCATGGGCTGGAGATCTTTAGGGTAGGAGGTGGAGGGGCATGCCAGCCAGGATGACTCTGTAACAGGCACTTGTGTGAAGGGAAAGACTGGCAGCCAGAGTCTGCTTTGATATGTTAGATAGGCACCCCAGTTAGCCATTTGTCCTGAGACCTAACACTTTCTGTGTTCAGTTGGAGCTGGACATAGTTTCCCCTGACTCTGCTCTCAAGTGCTGTCTTTCTGTCTCCTATACCATGTGTCTGACCGGCTTTATTGTCATTGTGGAATCAGGCAACATTTCCATTCATAATGAAGAATAAGGACTTTCTATGTTTTGAAAGACAGGAATTGTCTTTCAAAATTTCTATCATTACATAGACATTATAATGATAAAAACAGCAACAAACAACTCTGGCCATGTTTTGCCCACGTAACTGTTTTTCCTTAACACAGAGTTGCTTTGCTGGGCTTTCTTTGAATAGCAACTTCTGGAAACACTTCCAGTTTTACCACTTTCTCCTAGAAAGTGGTAAGGTAGAAATGTTATTAAAGAAAAAACAAGAGTCCTAGAAGGCTGTTCAGGCAGCTGGCTGTGGTGGTGCACACTTGTAGTCCCAGTACTCAGGAGGGTCAGGAGTTCTAAGTCTTCCCCAAAGTGAGCTTGAGGCCAGCCTGGGATACAAGAGACCCTGTGGCACCAAAAACAACAGCAGCAACAGCAAACCGGGGTTGTTTATTGCCTAAGTATATATATTTTTTTTTCTGTGAGCAACATTTTCACAACTTGAAGACATTTCCTGAACATTCCTCACATCAGTTAGAGCTGAATTAATCAGCTCCAATGACTGAACAACAGAGGCATGAAGCCTCACTCACGTCTGCCATGTGCCTTTTGGCCACATCTTCTTAGATACAAGGTCTCCTCTTTCTCCTTCTTTTTCTTTCTCTTTTGCAATTCAATAGCAGAGAGCCAGGCAGAGCCAGGCTTCGGCCTCCCTCCTTCCCGCAGGCTGCTGATAGCTGAGAAGATGGCCAGCCCGGCCCCAAGAGCAGGGTGTGGAGAGGCCTCATGGTTCCTCTGGCAGTTACTGGGAGCCGTGTTGACAGCCTTGTGAGAAAGCCGAGGTGGGTCTCCAGAGCCGGCAGGAGGACCTCAGTGACAGAGAGAGGGAGCCTGTGCAGCAGAGAAGAGCAGCCGCCCAGCTCTGGTTGAACGCTGGCATCAACTCTTAAGAAAATAGCCTTGAAAAGCAAAGACCAGCTCTGTCCCAGGGAGGCAGGCCTCTCTCCTAGATGATGCCTTGCAAAGAAGAGAATTCTGTTGTCTTTGCTTCATCCCAGACTAGCCTCTTGCAACATAGCTGAGGATGACCCCCTTTCATCTCAAAAGCTGGACAGAAATCCCTGGGATAGGTGGTGGTGGTGCCTAGCTAGCCTTTTGGTTGTCATTCGAGGACCCCTGTGCTTTTCAGAGACATGGAAAAATGTTTCTGGAATTATTTACAGATCCAGGGAAGAGGCTGCTACATGAAGAGGTAAAGATGTTACGAAGCTGGGCAACTGGAGCATTGGGCTTTACCTTCAGTTTGCGTGAGTTAGTCCAGAAAACAAGTGCCTGGGTGGGTGGTGCATGTCTGTAACCCAGCATCTGGGAGGATGAGGCAAGAGGGTTGTTCAAGCCTCAGGCCAGTCTGGGCTATGCAGTCACAAAACTTGGCCTCCTGGCTCCAACCCCAAAGGAAAAAAAGACCCATCAAGTCAAACAAGCAACCAGCGAGGATAACACAAAGCAAACGAAAACAAACAAAGGAAACAGTTGTCTCTGAGACCTGGCTGGATGCTGCACTGGTAAAGTACCTTCAGTAGGCACAGTGCACCACAGTAACGAAAGAGTTTGTTGGCATCTTCATGCTTCTACAAGAAAGACAGTGGCTCCTAGGACAGCCCTAAGCAGAAACCAGTTAGACTGCCCTGCAATGGCGCCGTGGCCTGGAACCAGTACCCGCGTCATCAGGGAAGATGAGATTCACCAGAGGGGGCATTTGACAGAAATATTTTGTTCCTCTGACGGCCTCTCAGGGGCACACACTATAGTTTATTTGATCTGTAGGTCCCAAGATAATTTGCCCCATCCCAACTGGAAGATCTTCATGTTAGGCTGAATAAACAAATGCTGCATGTTTTCTCTCATATGCAGAATGTGTGTGTGTGTGTGTGTGTGTGTGAGAGAGAGAGAGAGAGAGAGAGAGAGAGAGAGAGAGAGAGAGAGAGAAGGGGAGAGAGAGAGGGAAGGAGGGAAGGAGAGAGAGAGAGGGAGGGAGGGAAGGAGAGAGAAAGAGAGGGAGGGAAGGGGAGAGAGAGAGAAGGAGGGAGGGAGGGAAGGAAGGAGAGAGAAAGAGAGAGAGAGAGAGAGAGAGAGAGAGAGAGAGAGAGAGAGAGAGAGAGAAGAGAAGAGCTCAAGAAAGTGGGAGGAGAGATAAAGAGAAGGTGGTGGACTATGTGTGACATGAAGGAAATGCGGGCTCTTTGGGGGAGGGCGGGATCTCCCGAGAGTTGGGCAGGGCAATGGAGGGCAGAGAGAAGGAGGGAATGGATTAGAACAAAGCAGAAGCTAAGAAAATAACAAAACCCGTTACTTTGTGTGCTAACTTTAGTAATTACTGATAAAAAGGAATGCCTATAAAAACGCTTGCTTGGCCCTATTTTCATAGTGTGCCTCATTTTGCCTTCTCTGCTCCTCCTTCCAGGTCATTCCTAGAAGGCAGATTCTCACAGAAGTCAGACAGGAAGAGGGAGGGGCAGAAGTTCCTGCTTGTGAAACCTGGTCAGGTCCTCCAGGCCTTTGACTCTTTTCCTTTGGGTAGACCTGCTTCCTTTACTATGTGGACAGTGTCATTATGTATGGCTGCTCAGAAAGAAGTGACAGACTTCAACAAAAATATCATTCAATTAGAGTCACAAGAAAATCAATCAACAAATGAACAAAACCAAGAGACTGAACATTGAAAGCCCTTGTTCTCCAGTGTGGCATGGATACAGCCCTCTGCTGCTGGGATATCCTGAGCCTTCGAGGACTAACCAGGACAGTTCGTGTGAAGATCTGTGGCGACAAAGGAATTTGCTATGTATCTTGTGGGCTTTTTTGGAAATAGATTTGTTTTAGGGGAAAATGTGAGCCTGGATTGATGCCAGGGAACTCTGACTCCTTGATTCTAGCTCTGTTTACAGGCCCAACTTTAAACCTGTGCTGGCTTGGATAGAGTTTATGGTGACAGTTTGGCCAAAATGTTATGAAAAAAAAATACTACATATGGAAGAGAAAATAATACTTAATGATAGGGAATTGGCCCGTGAATTTCTGGTTCATCCTCACAAAATGGGAAAAGCTATGTACAGTAGTGAATGATCTTTTGAAAGTGTGCGGGGACACTACTGTGAACACATTTCTACTTCTTGTAACTTCCCAGCTTGATGCAAAGATTCAAAAGTCATAATAACAAAACTGATGAAAATTGTATGCATCAAAGACAGACTTTGGTTCCTAGAAGTGTTGATGTGGTCTTAGAGTATAGGATATTTTCTTGAAATTACTGAATCACCTTCCAGGAAAGAGTCTCTTCTTCCTGGGAGGTTTTATAATGTGCCTTGTGGGTTTTGATGAGGTTAGATCAAGCTAATCATTTTAGTTCATTCACTGAGTCAGGGCGACAAAAGAGAATGGGAAATTATTCATGCTTTCTTGATGATAAGTGAGATTAAAGCATTCCCCCTGTGCATCTAGGCACTGATTTTTCTTGTTAGGGGCTCTGTTTATTACAAAACAATTTGATTAGTTTCATTAGTTAAACCTAAAACCCCATATTAAAAACTTTAGCATCCCTAGAGAACCTCTCCAATCTGAATTAGTAAGGATTTAATTATAGTGGACTCCCGGGCTGAGAAACTGAGCTCCTTTTTCTGGCTTTTGTACAATTAAGTGCCTGTCAAACTCAGGGAACCCCTAATTTTCTTTAAGTGAAAGCAGTTGATGAACTTAAAACCAACTCTGCCCTTAGGGCTCTCTCTCTCTCTCTCTCTCTCTTTTTTTAATGAAAGCCTTATAATTAGAAATGAAAGTTCACACAAACTTAAAAGACTTCCACCTCCCCTTCTTTTCTCGCCCCCCTGTGGATATATTTCACTTAGACAAAGGCTGGAAAGTTTTGTCATTACTGATGTTGGGTGTGGGCAGCTTCATACCCGGCACCGAGGAGCAGCCGGCGTGGAGCTGGTATGAGTAGAGTCGGGGACTGTGACTTGGATGCTCAACATGTGTCCAGGAGCCAGTAAATTAGAGCCGCTTGGGGTCTCTTGAGAAAAGCAAAGCTTCAGGTCCGTCCAGACCCACAGACACCTGCGGTTGTGCATGAGATCCAGAGGTTGGAGCCCAAGAAACACCCACACATACAACCGACTGGTCCGCTGGGGGAAATGTGAAGTTTAAAGGAATAATAAATCGAACCTGTCTTCAGTGTTACAGCAGTTTGTAAATTAAAGAGCAATCGGTTTTGTTTCTCGCATCATAAAATCCAGGTAATTAGTGCTGCCGGAACAGTAGTTTGAAGCCCGCGCCTGCCCGCGGGAGATCTGCGGAGACGACCGTGCCTGGGGTTCTGCCCTTCGGATGTGTCCGGAACCCAACATTTTAGCCGCTCCCCCCTCCCTCCAGGAGTGTCTTCCTAAAAGTAGTGCTCACTAGATAATATTTGAAGAATAGATGCACACATTAAGGTAGGATTGTAGCTGGTTTTAGAAATGGGAGTGTGTTAGGGACCCCTCCTCTTCACATTGTGAACACTACTCTGCCTTGCTTTCTTTTGCTATACCGTGAGCTAGCTGAGGGTTTCCCCGGGCGTTGTATATGGGTTGGACTCTTCTGTTGTTTGACAGTGTGCACGTTTTATTTTTGGCTATGTATTGTGTGTGGTGCATGTTGTATGTGCACTAAGATTTGGGCATCCCAGAATATGTCAGGCGTCTTCCTCACTTTCTGCCTCATTTCCCGTGGACAGGGTCTCTCACCGAATTGGAAGCTTGCCATTGAGACTAAGCTGGCTGGTCAGTGAGCTCTCGGAATCAGCCTGTCTCCACTTTCCAGTGCTGGAGCTACCAGCCATGTAACAGTGCCCAGCTGCATGTGTGGGCACTGAGTGTTGAAATCACATCTCCATGCTTGTACAATGATCACTGGAATCTGCGAGTCATTCCTCAGCTTCTCTCCCCCACCCCTCCTCCTGTATTAATGAAAATATCTGTAACATGAAATTTCCCATTTTGCCCATTATGAAAGTGTCTCATCACATCTACATCTGGGCCTGGGCTGTTACCAGGGGCCATGTCTGGGTCTGAGGTCCTACCGTAGCCCGAGTCTGTGCTGATGTCTGTGGCCTGTGTTGCCACCAAAGGCCACACTGATGCCCAGGATCTGGGCCTCCACCTGTGGCCTTCTTGATGCCCGAGGACTGTGCTGCTGCCAGGTTGGTACAGACCTCAGTAACATGCGCTCCCACCTGGGACCAGGGCATTGTATAGGCCTGAGCTACAGCCAGGGCCATATCTGGGTCCATGGCTGTGCCACAGACAGAACTTGTGATGTCCTAGGCTCCTGTTGCCAATGAAGGCAATGTGGATGCCTGGGATCTGGTCCCACACTTGGAGCATGTGGGGGTTCGAGGACCATGCTGCCATGGGGCCCATGCCCATCTAAATGACCTTTACTGCCAACTGGGACCATGGTGACATCCAAGTCCCAGCTCCTGCCAAGGACCATGTCTGGGTCTGTGGTCCAACCACAGCTGGGGTCTGTATTGATGTCCACAACCTGTAATGCCACTAAGAGCTATGCAGATGTCAGGAGCCTGGGACAGCACCTAGAGCCAGGGTAGTATCCGAAGATTGAGTCTCTGGTTGAGCCATGCAGATCTGAGTAGGCTGCACTGCCACCCAAGGCCGTGGTCCATACCTGGGCTGCTGCCAGGGGCCACGTCTGGGCCCGTGGCCCTGTCACTGTCGCAATGTGTATTGATGTCCATGGTTTCCATTACCACCAAAAGCAGTGAGGGTAGGGTTGCACAGAGTGGCAACCCTGAACCACTCTGGAGAGTGGGCCCTGCACCTCCCCAGGGCATCATAGTGGAGCTGTCGCTGCTGGCAGGGGTGTGGGTGAGCCAGCCCCAAAGACCCTCGTGGGAGAGCTAACCCCACTGTCTGTCACTGGTCGGTCTGGGTGAGGGAGAGATACCCACCTTGCCCCTTGCCCCTTGCCCCTTACCATCTACTGCAGATGGGAAAAGCTGGTCCCAGGGTCATGAGAGTGGGAGAGCTAATTCTGCCCCTCACCAGCTGCAGCACTTGGGAGAGTGGACCCTGCACCTAGGCTGGGCAGCACAGTAGAGCTGACCCCATTGATGGAGGTACAGGGCAAGTGCAAGTGGGAGGTCTGGCCCCACCCCTCATCTGCCGTGTGGTGAGTGGGTGAAGGAGAGAGACGACCTGGCGGGTGGTAGAGCTGGCCCCGAGGTCATGGGAGTGGGAGAATTGCCACTGTCCTCCACTAGCAGCAGCACTCAGGAGAGCAGGCCCAGCACCTTGCCTGGGCAATACAATAGAGCTGACCCTGATGGTGGGGGTGCAGGTGGGGGGGCATGAGAACAGGACTGACCCCCTCTCCCCCTCATCTGCCATGTGGTGGCATGGGTGAGGAAAAAAATGCCCTCCCTCTCCTCACCCTTTCCCACCTGTGGCAGGTGAGAGAGCTAGCCCTGGAGCCATGAGAATGGGAGAGCTGGCCCTTCCCCTCACTAAGTGCAGCAATCTGGAGAGTGGGCCCTGCACCCTATACCCTGCACCTTGCCTGGGCAAAATAGTAGAGCTGGCCCTGGTGGTGTGGATGTGGGTGAGCTGGACCCGAGGGTGTGAGAGCAGGCGGACTGGCCCCACTCCTTACTGCTGCTGCACTGGGTGAGCTAGCCAGGGCAGTGCTGGAGAACTCATGTGGGTGGTGACAATGAGGGAAAGCTGGCAGGCTGACCAACCCAACAACCACTCAGGCCCAGAACAAGGACTGTGAGGTACCCCACCCCAACACCCACCTCATCTATGAACTGCTGGAGCATATGAAGGGGCTGGACCTGCAGATCCAAAGCTGCAGGATTTTGTCCATGACACAAGACAAAAACAAGATATCCAAGAGGAGCCCAGTGAGAGATAGTGTAGCAGAAGCCAGAGGCCTCCAACCAGACCAATGATTCATTGCAATAAACACAGGTAAAGCTGTACGGGCTAAAGAGTATACTGTGTGTACTTACTGGACCATACTACAGCTGCTGCATGCTGAGATTTTTTTTAAATTTTTGTTGTTGTTTGCTTTTTTGTTTTACTTTTAAATTTTGTTCTGGGGAAGTGTTGTTTTTATCAAAATCTCAATTGTTCAATTTTACCAATAAAGACTCAGGAACCAGATGCTGGGGTGAAACCCTACTAGTTCAGAGAGGTGGAAAAAGCACCCAGCTGACCTTGGTCAACATCCCAGGAACCTCTCACCTTCTCCTATGTCATCTCAAAAACTCCTCCTCAAACTGAATGTCCCTCCCTCCTCCTTCTTGTGTGTCTCCCTCTCCGCCTTCCCGACTCCCTTTTCTTAATAATCCTGTGTTCATTTCCTATCAACTGGTTGCTTGCTCCCCTTGACCTATGGTTAGCGTTATTTAATCCTGTTTACAGTATTCAAGCAGAATGCTCTTGGATTAAAGGTGTGTGCTAGGGCTGAGCCACACCACAACTAGAAACAGGTTTTTCCAGTAAATAATGCAATCTCAGGGTTCACAATGTGATCAAATATCCTGCAAAAGGGGGCAGATTGCAAGGGCAGAAGCGAGGGGACGGGCAGATGTGAAATCCACAAAGAATCAATAAAAAGTTAAAAAACAAACAAACGCTCACATCTTTGCAACAAGCATCCCTGTCTATCTTGTTTCCATCTTGTAAAATGGAAACTTTATAACATTGGACAATGACTGTCCAGCTTCTCAGTATGTAGTGCAGGCTACCCTGTAACTCACTGTGCTCTGACCTTGAGCCCAGTATGTAGTGCAGGGTAGCCTCTAACTCATTGTGCTCTGATCTTGAATCCATCCCCTTCTTCCTAAGCCTCCCAAGTGCTGGCAGAGCACCACTTCTGGGTCATTCTCATTGAGCTAACTAATGGCTAAAAACATTGAATGTTTTTCATGGAAAATGTATTTCTTCTTTTGAAAACTGTTCAGATTACTCTTTCACTTTTTGATTGGGTTGTTGGTTTTTGAGTGTTTAAAATTTTGAGTTCTTCATATTTTGTGGACATTAGTCTCCTTGCTGGTTAGTTTTGTGAACTTGACACAAGCCTGAACATACCTGGGGGGAGGGAAATCACATTTAAGGAACTGCCTAGATCAGATCGGCCTGTTGTCTCATCTGTGGGGCATTTTCTTGATTGTTAATTGATGTAGGAGGG